GACAACCTGTGCTCAATCCCTGGTGCCCACGTCAAAGAGGAAGGAGAGCCAAGCATGGTGGTGCACTCAGGAGGCAGAGGCAGGTGGATCTCTGTGAGATGGAGGCCAGTCTGTTTTACATAGCAAGTTCTGAGCCTGCTGGGGCTACAGGGAGACCTTAAAAAAAAAAAAGCAAAGAGAAGGGCTTGGAAGGTGGCAGTGATGAAGACCCTGCAGTTGAGGTTGCTCTGTGGCAGGCTTGTATTTTCAACAGAGTTCCACAAATGAAGAAATAACATTTGTATTTTGAGAAAGGGAAAGTCTTCCTGTTATAGAAGATAACTTTGTGAAACTTCATGTTAAAGCTTGTGCTCTGAGCCAGATAAATACAAAGCTGCTGGCAGAAATGAAGATGGAAAAGGATTTCCTTCCTGTTGGAAGAGAAGTTGCTGGAATTGCGTTAGCTATTGGAAATGAAGTATCATTCTTTCAACCAGATGATGAAGTAGTTGGGATTTTTCCCTTGGATTCTGAAGACTCTGGACTTTGTGAAGTTGTCAGAGTATGTGAGCATTATCTGGGTGCTGGAGATGGAGCTCAGAGTCTTCATTCACGCTAGGCAGTGCTCTACCTTGGGCCACTTCAACAATGGAAAATTATAACATAGACCAGAAGGGAAAGAACAAAAACAATTGCAGATGTTCTTTGACAATGAAAACAAAATCAGGTATTTCCTTAAAAGACATTTTTTAATTAGGTGTGATAGCGCATGTTGTAATCTTAGCTCTTAGGTATCAGAGGCATAGGTTCTAGAGGTCAAGGTGCAGGCTACAAACTGAGAGACTATCTCAAAACAAATCCTTTAAGCCAGCAGGGCTGGAGAGATGGCCCAGGGGTTAAAGACACTTGTTGCTCTTCCAGAGGACCCAAGTTCAGCTCCCAGCACCTATAACTTCAGCTCCAGGGGATCTGATACCCTCTTCTGGCCTCTGCAGGTATGCACACACGGCATACATTCACACAGACACATAAATAAAAATAATGAATATAAATCTTATAAAAATGAATGACAGCCAAGAAGATGGGCCGTAAGTGAGCTCCTGAGCACAGCAACTGTCCATAACTGAAGACACTCAACTGTATGATCTCTGTTCTGTTTGCAGCTCCAGCATTTTATGAACTGAGGACTGATCTCAGTACGTTCCATGAAACTTTGTGTTGGGAAATTCTGTTTATCACAACTTTGAGTTTCTGTTCATTCTTAGCCTAGTAATTATTTAATGAGAACTCAGCAGTCAAAAAAATAAAGAAAAAAAAACAAGAAAAAAAGGTGGAGAGAACCAACTCCAAAAAGTTGTCCTCTGATCTCCACATGTACACTGTGATATCATAAATAAAATAAAAATGTGAAAAAAAGTGTATTTAAAAAAAAAAAAACTAAAAAATAGGCCAGACATCATGGTACACACCTAGAAATCTCAGCACAGGGAAGGCTGAGGCAGGAGAATCGTGAGCTCATAGCCAGCGTGGGCTAGATAGCAAGATCCTATGCCAACACAAAATAAGGACGTAGCTTAGTAGGAAGCACTTGCCTACCATGCATGAGGTTTGAACCCCTAATATGACAAAAACCACAACTTATGTCCATTATATATAACCTTAAAATTCTACCTAAATTGGTTTGCTGAGGATCACCACACAAACACCACATACATTTTTGTTTTATGTATTTATCATATGCTGGCAGAAACCAGAAGAGGATAAGTCCCTCTGAAACTGAAGTTACAGATGGTTGTTGGCTGCCATGTGTATGCTGGGAACCAATTTTGGGGTCTCTGAAACAGCAGTCAGTACTCTTAACAACCGAGCCATCTCTCCAGCCACCCCCCCAACTTTAAATCACAAAAATAAAAAACAAAAACACAAGCCTTTAATATGGTTGTCCAAGGTCGGTTATTAACTCTGGCTTCTGAGAGGTGGGCAGGCCTCTGAGCCACACTTGTAGCTGTTAGCTTATTTTTGGGTTGGACAACTGGGTGAGACAGACTCATGCCATGTAATAGCAGAAATAGCCTCCTGCCTTAAGCTGGGATTGCAACTATGTTCCACCACACCTAGCCCATAGCTGTGAATTTAACTCCCTTCTCAAGAGGAAATCTTTGCCTTTGTTCACAAAAGGGAAAATAATACTCACCTGAAAACTAACAGAGACATGCTTATAGACATTTGGCTCAAAAGGGCTTAGAGCAAATGTTCTTACAATCTCCGGCTGTTAGTGTCCACAGACTTTACAATGTAGAGTTCAGATTGAGCTGTCAATCTCAGGTGGTATTAAGGATAAAAAGAAGAAAAGGAGTTATAATGTTTTTTCTTTTAAGAAGGAACTCACATTGTATCTCAGGCTAGCCTGGAACTCACACTGTTACCCAGGCTGGCCTTGTACTCAAAGCAATCCTCCTTCCTCAGCCTCCTAAATGCGGGAATTGTAAGTGTGAACCATCATGCCCACCTTTAGATTAATTTTCCAGTAGTTAAATATTGACATAGACAATTAAGTACCAATAATCATCATGCTAATTTAGAGCCTTCCCCTTTTTCGGTGATACTTGGGACTGAAACAGGGCCGTGAGAACAGCAGCAAGTGCCCCACCCCTGAGATACATCCCCAGCCATTTTTGAAACAGGTTCCGGCTAAATTGCCCAGGACGGACTCAAATTCCTGATCCTTGTGCCTCAGCATCCCAAGTAGCTAGAATTACAGGTATGTGACACATCTGACAATTTAGGTCTTTTTTTTTTTCAGGACTGATGTATTTTTTTATTTCAAGGTACAAATGGCTTATGGGTACATGAGTGGTTTCTAATGTTTAAACTAGTAGGTGCTGAGACAGTTAAGGAAGAGGAAAGTGCCAAGTGCATTCTGACTAACCTTGTGGTGCACAGCTTCGGGATGGACTTATCACTAAACACGCAGACAGAATGCTGTATTTTAGCACTGTGTGTACTGGAAACCCAAATTTTTAAATGGTTTACTTCCCATAACCTGTAATTCTGGCCCCCTCAGCCTTTAGCACCTGAATGGAGACAAGCCTTTCAAAAAGATATACTTGCCGGGCATGGTGGCACATGCCTTTAATCCCAGCTCTGGGAGGCAAAGGCAGGAGGATCACTGTCAACTGAAGGTCAAACTAGTCTATTTAGTAAGTTCTGGGCCAGCCAAGACTATACAGTGAAACAACAACAACAACCCACAGCTGGAGAGATGGTTCAGTGGGAAGGAATGCTTACATGAGGAGCTGAGACCAGATCCACAGTGCCCATGTAAAAAGCCAGGTATGGCCATGTATGTGCCTAAAATCCCAGCCTTGCTCCAGGTTCAGTGAGAGATCCCGTCTCAAGGGAATGAGATGATAGAGCAGGACACCTGATGTCCTCCTCTAGCCTCTGCACACCCATGCACCACACACATCACACACACACACACACACACACACACACACACACACACCTGAGAACATATTTCCAGGGGCTGGAGAGATGGCTCAGCAGTTAAGAGCACTGGGTGCTCTTGCAGAGGACCCAGGTTCAGTTCCCAGCACCCACAGGGTGGCTAGCAACTGTCTGTAACTCCAGTTTCGGGGAACCCAACACATTCTTCTGGCCTTCTTGGGCATTACACTCACAGGTGCACTTGCACGCATGCAGGCATAACACTCATACACATAAAATAAAAATAATATATAAAATTATTTTTAAAAAAACCATTTCCAGGCCCCAATCCTATAGAACTAAATCCAGATGGTTTGTTTGGGGGGGATCTGTGACATTGTACTTCATTTTGCTATTTTTCTATCCCCAAATACAATTTGAAACAGTCATTTACTCTAAATTTGGCCCATTTTCTCAATGGTGAAGGGTCAAACTCAGGACCTTGTGTATCCTAGGCAAGTGCTATATTACCAAGCCAAACCCCCAGCCTTGCCTTGTGTTATTAAATAGGGCATTAGGAACATCACTACCCTTTGAAACCATCAGCCAATAGGTTAATGCAAAACACAGACTGAACTGTAAATCTCCGAGAAAGAACCATCCCTACTATGATGTAATGGCGAAGGAACTGGAGTTGCATTTGTCAATCCCTTCCTAGGACCTCGGCCATGTCTTGTATCTTCTTGGAGTCTTAATTTACTTATGTGTAAAATGGGAATTAAGTGCACTACTTTAATATCTCATGTTAGTTTTAGATTTCTTTCTTTCTTTCGAGAGTCAGGGTCCACTGTGTAATCCCTGGCTGGCCTGGAACTCATTATGTAGACCAGGTTGGCCTTGAATTCACAGAGATCCTTGTGCCTCTGCCTCCTAAGTGTAGAGATGCCACCATGCCCAGTTCTGTTTACATATTTTAATTTTGTTTTACTATTTTTTCAATTCTATATCTTTCAACATTTCACACAAACATACCACCACAAGTCAGCTGCATATGCTGGCACTGGAAGATTTTGGTTTCTGTACATAGTTTGTTGCACACAACACTAGTTGAAGTAAATTCTCTCTTGGTGAGTACCAAATGGGATCTGGGACTATTTTGACAAAGTACAATACTGTACCCAAAGAACTATAAAGTGCCATTTATGTAGAGGAGAAATTTTTCATCATTATAAATCTTGAATATACCTGTTAAAAATAATGTTCTGCCCTTTTGCCTGGGTTCCTGAATGTGTGTAAAACCTCAAGATGTCAGTCCCAATATTTTCAGAGCACCGTTATGATCAATTTGGAAAACAGCGGTGGGAGGGGGGAGGGCAGGTATGAGAAGGGACTGTCACTTGTGTTCTCTACTCTATTCTTTGAGAGGCTAAGGGGAAACATAGGGTGAGTGACATGCCTTCTGTAAGAATCCACTCAGGATGAACTTCTAACAGGATACAAACTACCAGTAAAAACACTTTTGGAGCACAGACAATCAGAGATCATCTGTGAGCCAGCACACCAGAAGGACAGCTCCAAAGATGAGAAGTCCTTCCAGGCTGTTCCTACTGCTGTTCCCAAGACAATCACTGTAAAAGACTTTACTTGTTTATCTCCACCACACAGACATGGTCTGACTGAGAGGATCGGTCTGAGACTCCCCAGAGGCGGTTGCTGAGCACAGCGGCTGTTTCCTCCACTCCAGAGCACCATCATCTGGTCTCACAAGCTCTCTCTACTGGAATGGTTCTAGAGAAGCAGGCCAGTCCCACTTTGCTGTGAGGACTTTGCAACACAGGGACACCTAATGATTTGCTCCTGGAAGGGGGGAACTTTGTAAAAGTTAAGCCCCCAGCACCTCCAAGACTTCTCGAAAGTCATCTTGGGTACAAAGCAGAGGGTGATGTGTCAGCAAGACTTTTGGGTGAGATGTAATTATTCAGAATTGGTCCCTCTTCACTCTTCATCCCACCCCCAAAGTCTGTGAACATCAGTCCATGAATACTGCTGTACTTTAGTATCACTACCCTCTCAGAAAATAGAGGTGGATTTCTCTAACACCGTGCTGCAAAGTAAACATCATCAGGAAAGCTCAGTAGCAACACATACTGAGTCTGAAGCATATCTCTGTCTCTTGTTAATTTCCAGTACACTGTAGCCATACAATCATTTCTAGAATGTTTTTAAACATTCCAAGCAAATATACTGCCAAGGGGCATTGAGCATCCTGGCATGGGAAGGCTTAAGCTTATACAGGTTGTGTACAAGCAGCTCTTGAAGTACACTCTTCAGTTGTGAGGATCAAAAGGAAGACTGGACTGCTGTTGGCCAGGAAAATGCTACACTCCTAGCATTATGAAATGTCACTTAGCTGGGATGAAACCCGGGGACTTTCAAGGGCCCCTGAAAATCCTTGTAAATCTTCACTCTCTGAGGGTTTTCTCACCCCTTTATCTTTCACTGAGAAATTTAAGGAAATAAAGGAATCCTGGGCCTGATGAAATGGGTGTCTCTTAATTTATTGCTCATATGGATGAAAGGACTCAGGCACTTTTATATTTAAAATAAATGAGAGGGTGTGCATAAAAGTACAGGCTTGTAAAATTCATTATTTGTTATTTTTTAAGATAAGGTCTTGGAGAAATGGCTCAGTGGTTAAGAGCACTGACTTGCAGAAGACCTGGGTTCAATTTCCAGTACCCATATGGCAGTTAACAACCATCCATAACTCCAGTTCTCGAGGAATCCAGCGCCCCCTTCTGACCTCAAGTATTGCACAATACAGGGACACTTACATACATGCAGCAATACATTCATACACATAAAACAAAAACAAATTTCTTTTTTAAAGATAGGGTCTCATGTAGCAGTGTCCAGCCTAGAATTTGCTATGTAGCTGAGGATAGCTTTGAACTCCCCCTGTCTCTGTCTCCCCAGTGCTGTGACCACAGACATGTACCACCACAACCCCCCTCCATATATTTATTTATATTTATCTATGTGTGCCTGTGTGTGTGTGTGTGTGTGTGTGTATACCAGAGGTTGAAGTTGGGTATGCTGGGTGGCCCACCTTTTTGTTTTTGAAACATGATCTCACTGAACCTGAAGCTCACTGATTAGCTATGCTGGCTGGTCAGTGAACCCCATGGATTGGCTTGAGTCATCCCCGACATTGCTGGTGCTACAGGTACATGCTACCAACTGGCATTTTACATGAGTAAAATGAGGATCTGAACTCAGGTCCTCATGCTTTCACAACAAGCACTTTGCCAACTGAGCTACCCCCTGAAGCCCTCTGTTATCTTTTTAAAAAAATTTATTTTGGGGCTGGAGAGATGGCTCAGTGGTTAAGAGCACTGACTGCTCTTGCAGAGGACTTGGGTTCGATTCCCAGCACCCACATGGCGGCTACAAACCATCCTTAATTCCAGTTCCAGGGGAATCCGAAGCCCTCTTCTGACCTCCGTGGCATTGCACGACACGGACTCACTCACATACATGCAGGCAATACACTCGTACACATAAAATAAAAAAAGTATATTAAAAAAATTTATTTCTCGCCAGGTGTGGTGGCACATACTTTTAATTCCAGCACTTGGGAGGCAGAGGCAGACAGATCTCTGTGGGCATCAAGGCCAGCCTGGACTACATAGTAGGTTGCAGACCAGCTGGGGCTACAAGGAGACCCTCTCTCAAAAAAGACCTAAAAAAAATTTATTTCTTATCATTGTGTATATGTGTGTAGGTACGTATGATGTGTGTGTGTGGACACATACATGCCACAGTGGACAACTTTGTGGAGCCCGTTCTCTTCTTCCACCTTTGTATGGTGTATTAGTTACTTTTCTGTTGCTGTGATAAGACACAATGACCAAGGCAACTTAGAGAAGGAAGAGCTTATTAGGCTTATGATTCCAGAGGGATTAGCGTCTATAATGGCTGGGTAGGCATGGAGGCAGAGGTGGCTGGAGCAGAAATCCAAATGATCACATCTTCAAGCAGGTACAGGAAGACTGAAAATCTGGCAAGGTTTAAGAATTCTCAAAGCCCATCCCCAACGATGTGCTTCTTTCAGCATGACCGCACCTCCTAAAACCTTCCAAAACAATGCCACCAACTGGGGATAAATTGTCCAAAAACTTGGAGCCTATGAGGACATTCTGATTCAAACCACCACATGTGGGTTCCAGGGATCAAACACAGGTTGCCACACTCTCATAGCAACGCCATTTATTCACTGAGCCATTTCATCAGCCACTCCATTTTTTATTGATAAATAAAACTTGCATACCTGTAACAAATACCTTCCATATTATGAAAAATGCACATTTTTCAATTTTTAAAAAAATTGTAGTCCTGGAGCTGGGGAGATGACTCAGAAGTTAAGAGCCTTTTAACTTAAGAGCATCTTGACTGCTCTTGCAGAGGACCCAGTTTCGATTCCCAGCACCCACATGATGGCTAACAACTGTGTCTAACTCCAGTTCCAGGAGATCCTACACCTTCTTCTGACCTCTGCAGGCGTTGCATGACACAGGTGCACTTACACACATGCAGGTAATACACTCATACACATCAGAAGTTAAGAGCCTTTTAACTTAAGAGCATCTTGACTGCTCTTGCAGAGGACCCAGTTTCGATTCCCAGCACCCACATGATGGCTAACAACTGTGTCTAACTCCAGTTCCAGGAGATCCTACACCTTCTTCTGACCTCTGCAGGCGTTGCATGACACAGGTGCACTTACACACATGCAGGTAATACACTCATACACATTAAAAAAAATAATTTTTTTAATTTAATATATTTTAAAAAATTATAGTCTTGGGGGCCAGACATGGTGGCATTCCTTTAATCCCAGCACTTGAGGCAGAGGCAGGCAGTTGAAGGCCAGCCTGGTCTACATAGTGAGTTCCAGGCCAGCTGGGGCTACAGAGACCCTGTCTCAAAAAGACCAAATGTGTGTGTATGTGTGTGTGTGTGTGTGTGTGTGTGTGTGTGTGTAGTCTTGGGCTAGAGAGATGGTAGCAGCTGTAGAGCACCGGCTGCTCTTGCAGAGGACCCAGGTTTGATTCCCAGCACCCACATGGCAGCAAACAACTGTCTGTCCATAACTCTAGTTTCAGGCACCCAGTGCCTTCTTCTATCCTTCACGGGCATTGCACAACATGAGTGCACTTACATACATGCAAGCAAAACACTAATAACATGAAATGAAAATAATGAAATATATTTTAAAATAAAAATAAGTTAAAAAGTATAGTCTGGATGGGTGTGGGGAGCCGCCTGCCGTCCCTGCAGACGCCATTACAAGATGGCACTCACATCCGGTTCATGCTGAGCAGTAAATAAGTCAGTACGCATGCCCGAAGTAATTTTCCACCTTCTAGTCTCTGCCTACCTCGTGGCGTGATATGGGCTGATGAGTTTGCAACCAATCAAGAGTTGCCACGTCCAAGACGGGCTTACTAACCTATATAAGGGCTGGGTTTCCGACATTCGGGGTCTTCGCCCTGTAAGCTTATGCTCTCCCTCTCAAGATGCATTAAAGCTTTTCTGCAGAAGGATCCTGAGTGTGCCGCGTCGTTCTTGCTGGCGAGACGATAGCGCGGGACAACTGATGCTGAGACCCGGGAATTCGACCAAACCATCGTCAGCACCATCGGAGACCCCTTGAGTTCAAGGAGGATTCAGAACTGCAGGTAAGGACGTTCAGAGAGGTATGTTTTTTCTGGACTTTGGCTTGAACCTGTTTCCGCCTTGGAAAGGTAGCTTTGAGGCCTTGGTTATCATTCTGGGAGCACTTATAGTTTTGTTGTATAAAACATGCCAGGCCATTGTGGCGGAAAGTCGAAATGTTCTTGAGGAAGTCCAGGATAGCATGTCAGAAACTGAACGCAGTGAGAGGTTAGGTGCACGAAAAAAGAAACGGGCCCCAAATAAGGAAAATGGCCCTCCCGGAAGGTCTGTTGACAAGGGAGCGTATTTTAAAGAGCCTAGAGATTCTTTGCCTGTCAAGAGGCCGGACAAAGGGACTAGTATATACCCCGTCCGAGAACTAAAGGCTCTGCAATTAAGTAGTTCAGGAAGCCCCGGGAGCTCTGAGGACGAGAGCCTTGACCCGGAGGAGGAGGCGGAGCTAGATGAGGAAGTAGCGAAGTATGAGGAAGAAAGATATCATCCAGATGATCATGTACAAGGCAACAAGAGACACCAAAAACATTCACATTCTGTGATGGCCGCTTCACAAGTGGCCCCCTCAGCGTCCCCTCCATATGAGGTCCGCCGAGGATCTTTTTCCCTCCTATCTGATAAAGTGCAGAGGAAGTTACGTTCGGCCTTCCCTGTCTTTGAAGGCCTAGAGAACGGGCGGGTATACGCACCCGTGGAATATAACCAAATAAAGGAATTAGCAGAGTCAGTCAGAAAGTATGGCGTCACCGCCAATTTCACATTGGCACAATTGGACAGGCTGGCGAGAGACTCCATGACACCTACTGATTGGCAAACAATAGCCAAGGCCACGCTTAACAGCATGGGCCAGTTTATGGAATGGAAGGCCCTTTGGCATGAAGCAGCTCAAGAACAAGCCAGGGCCAATGCTATATCTTTGACACCAGAACAGCAAGAATGGACTTTTGACATGCTGACAGGGCAGGGACACTATGCAACCAATCAAACAAATTTCCCCTGGGGAGCATACCAACAAGTCTCAAGCACTGCCATCAGGGCCTGGAAGGCACTCTCTAGGAAGGGTGAGGGAGGTAACCAATTAACAAAGATTATACAAGGAGCTCAAGAGCCTTTTTCTGACTTTGTGGCTAGGATGACGGAGGCGGCAGGGCGCATTTTTGGAGACTCTGAGACAGCCATGCCTCTTGTCGAACAGCTTGTCTTTGAACAAGCCACTCAGGAATGCTGTGCCGCCATTGCCCCTAGAAAAAACAAAGGGATGCAGGACTGGCTTAGGGTTTGTAGAGAGTTAGGGGGCCCTCTTACCAATGCAGGGCTGGCAGCAGCCATTTTACAGTCCCAGAGACGCCCCCCTAAGGGGCCCGAAAAAAGGGTCTGCTTTAACTGCGGAAAGCCCGGACACATGAAAAGAGACTGTAGAAATCAGAGGGCCCACCCCTGCTCTTTGCACCCGCTGCGGCAAGGGCTATCATAAGGCAGACCTATGTCGCTCGGTTAGGGATTTGAGAGGTAATGTCCTCCCTCCTAAGGCAACCTTTATCAATGAGGATCCAAAAAACGGGGCAGCGGGCCCATGGTCCCAGGGCCCACAAAAATATGGGAACCGGTTCATCAAGGCCCCGGAGAAAGCCCCCTTGGGGATGACACAAGACTGGACTTGCGCGCCTCCTCCGATTTCTTATTGATGCCTCAAATGGCAGTGCAGCCCATACCTGCCTGTTTGCCCATACCATTTCCTCAAGGGACTGTAGGGCTCCTTCTGGGCCGAGGGTCACTCACCCTGCAAGGATTGATTGTTCACCCTGGCATAATTGACAATCAGCGTACCCCTGAGGTTCAGGTTTTGTGCTCTAGCCCTAAAGGCATATTTTCTATCAGTAAAGGGGATAGGATAGCTCAGTTGCTACTCCTTCCAAGTACCCACCAGGAATTTAGAAATAGGCCGATGGGATCCTCGGGTCAGGACTCAGCCTATTTAGTTGTCAGCCTACAAAATAGGCCGAAGCTGCTCCTACAGGTTAATGGTAAGAGTTTTGAAGGCATCCTAGATACTGGGGCAGATAAGAGCATCATCTCTTCCCATTGGTGGCCAAGGTCTTGGCCGATTACCGAGGCTTCCCATTCATTACAGGGTTTGGGTTATAGTGCCCATCCCACAATCAGCTCTTCCGCCCTCACTTGGAAGACGGCGGAAGGGCGGGAGGGAAGATTCACTCCTTATGTCCTCCCTTTACCTGTCAACCTATGGGGACGGGATGTTATGCACGACCTCGGGCTTACTCTGTCCAATGAATATTCACCACAAGCAATCCAAATATGAAGAAAATGGGGTATGAGAGAGGAAAAGGGCTGGGGTGTTGTGAACAGGGGTGTACAGAACCCATAGCACCCAACCCAAATCAAGGCAGACAAGGCCTGGGTTTTTCCTAGGTGCCACTGAGGCAGTACGGCCCATACCATGGAAAACGGAGGCTCCGGTGTGGGTTCCTCAGTGGCCTTTGACCTCCAAAAAATTGGCTGCAGTAACTGATCTGGTCACTGAGCAGCTGGCTTTGGGGCATATAGAGCCATCTACCTCCCCTTGGAATACCCCGATTTTTGTGATAAAAAAGAAATCTGGAAAATGGAGGTTATTACATGACCTAAGAGCTATTAATGAGCAAATGTATCCCCTTGGGGCAGTGCAGCGGGGACTTCCGGTCCTCTCTGCTCTGCCTAAGGATTGGAACTTAATCATTATAGATATAAAGGACTGCTTCTTTTCTATCCCCCTGCATGTCTCTGACAGGCAGCGCTTTGCTTTTACCATCCCTTCAATTAATCATATGGAGCCAGATAAGAGATTTCAATGGAGAGTGCTGCCTCAAGGGATGGCCAACAGTCCCACCATATGTCAACTGTATGTACAGGAGGCTCTAAAGCCTATTAGAGAAAAATTTCCTGCGATAACTATTATTCATTACATGGATGATGTGCTCATGTGTCATCAAGAGCGAGAGACCCTTGAAAAAGCTTACCCACAGCTGGTGAAAGCTTTGCAATACTGGGGACTTCAAGTCGCCACTGAAAAGGTCCAGTTTTCTGATACAGGCCAATTCCTGGGCACTGTTATTCTCCCTGATGTGATTCGTCCACAAAAGATAAAAATTTATAGAAAAGATTTGTGCACTTTAAATGATTTCCAAAAATTATTGGGAGATATTAATTGGCTTCGCCCATTTCTCAAAATTCCCACAGCGGATTTAAAACCTCTTTTTGACATTTTGGAGGGGGACACCCATATTACTTCCCCTCGATCCTTGACCCCTGCTGCGGAAACAGCACTCCTCCTAGTAGAGGAGGCAATAGAGAAAGCACAGTTACGTCGCATTAACAGCTCTCAACCTTTTTGTCTCTATGTTTTTAAAACAAGAAAGCTGCCCACTGCGGTTTTATGGCAGGAAGGACCCCTGTTATGGGTTCACCCGAACGCTTCCCCCCAAAAAATAATTGACTGGTACCCCACGGCTATAGCTCAACTTGCACTTAAAGGCTTAAAATTGGCTATAGAACACTTTGGCAAGCACCCTACATCTATCTTGGTCCCCTATAATTCCTCTCAGGTGCAAACATTAGCTGCCACCTCAAATGACTGGGCCATACTAGTTACCACCTTCTCGGGGAGAATTGATAATCACTATCCAAGGCATCCTTTGCTGCAGTTTGCAGCCCTCCATCCTGTAGTCTTTCCCCGAGTTACATCTCCCATTCCACTGAAAGAGGGATTGATGATATATACAGATGGCTCCAAGAATGGGAAGGGGGCATATGTCATGGGTTCCAAGGTGTTCTCACGACAATATGCAGAAACCTCTCCTCAAATAGTAGAATGTCTGGTTGTGTTGGAGGTTCTTCAAAAGTTTTCAGGTCCTCTTAATATTATTTCTGACTCATCCTATGTAGTTAATGCAGTTGCTGTGCTAGAGACAGCTGGTGTTATAAAACCAACCAGCAGGGTGGCTGCCCTTTTTCAGAAAATACAAGATTGTTTATTTAAGAGGAGTACACCCTTTTATATTACACATATTAGGACCCATTCGGGCCTCCCTGGACCAATGGCCCTTGGCAATGATAAGATGCATTAAAGCTTTTCTGCAGAAGGATCCTGAGTGTGCCGCATCATTCTTGCTGGCGAGACGATAGCGCGGGACAGATGGGAATCATGCATGAAGAATTATCTCCAGGGAATTGGGGGATAACTTAGTTGGTAAAGTGTCTGCTGTGCAGCATGAGAAGCTGAATTTGGACCCCCAGCACCCATATGTTCATATATATCTCTAACCCTGACACTGGGAACGGGGGTGAGGGCAGAGACAGGCAGATCCCTGGGACTCACTGGCCAACCATCCTAGCCAGTTGGTGAAACAGAGAGAACCTGTTCCCAAAAATAAGGCAGAAAGCAATAAAGGAGGTACTGGAGAAGTGGCTCGGGGAGTAAAAGGACTGGTTGCTCTTGCAGACGACCCAGGTTCTGTTCTCAGCATCCATACGGTAGCAAAAAAAAATCATCCATAAATCCAGTTCCAGGGGATCCTATGCTTTCTTCTGGCCTCCATAGGCACTGCACACATGTGTTGCACTTACATACATGCCAGCAAAACTCTCATACACATAAAATAAAAATAAATCATAATTTTAAAAGCAGTAAGCTGCTGGGCCTGGTGGCACATGCCTTTAATTCCAGCATTTGAGGAGGCAGAGGAAGATGGATCTCTGTGAGTTTGAGGATAGCCTGGTCTACACAGCAAGCTCCAGGCCAGCTAGGACTACAGGGAGACCCTGTCTCAAAAATACCAAAGCAAAAAAAAAAAAAAAAAACCCAAAAAAACAGTAAGCCAAGCATGGTGACACACACCTTTAGTCCCAGCACTCCAGAGGCAGAAGCAGGTGAATTTCTGTGAGAAATTCTGTCTACATAGCAAGTTCCAGGCCAGCTGGGGCCATGGGGAGGCCCTATCTCTAAAAGACCAAAACAAAACCTAACCAGAGCAGTCTTTTAGTGGCCTGTAACTCGCCTGCTGGGCTGGCCTGGCTGCCCAGTGAGCCCCAGAAAATCCGGAGTCTGCCTCCCTGATGCTAGGATTGCAAGTGTGTGCCACCATGCCTAGTTTTTTTCAAAAAAAAAATTGTAAATTTATTTTTATGTATGTATTTTGCCTGCATGTATTTAAGTATACCATGTGCATGTAATGCCCTCAGAGGCCAGAAGACGGTGATGAGCCCCCTAGAACCGGAGTTACAGATAGTTGCTAGCCATGTAGGTTCTGGGAACTAAACTCAGGACCTCTGTAAGAGCAGCCCGTGCCTAGCTTTTATTTTATATTATTTTGTTTCATTTTATTTTATTTTATTTGGTCTTTTTGAGACAGGGTCTCCCTGTAGTCTCTAGCTGTCCTGAAACTCACTATGTAGACCAGGCTGGCCTTGAACTCACAGAGATCCACCTGCCTCTGCCTCCCAACTGCTGGGATTAAAGGCACATGCCACCATGCCCAGCTCCTGCCTGGCTACTTTTTTTTTTTCTTTTGGTCTTTTTTTGAGACAGGGTCTCCCTGTAGCCCCAGCTGTCCTGGAACTCACTATGTAGACCAGGCTGGCCTTGAATTCAGAGATCCGCCTGCCTCTGCCTCTGATTAAAGGCATGCACCACCACGCTTGGATCTGCCTAGCTTTTTTATTTGGGTTATGAAGATTGAACCCAGGTCCTCGTGGTTTCAAGGCAAACATTTTACTGACTGGGCTACTCCCCAGCCCTGTAAGAGTGCTTACATTTACAGAAGACCAAGGCCATGCCTTGCCTCATTCTTCCTCTCAATTGCCCCCAGTATCCAGCACCCAGCAGGAGGCAAGAACTCAGTGCTGACTAAACAGGATGTGGTGTGTGTGTGTGTGTGTGTGTGTGTGTGTGTGTGTGTGTGTCCCGCTCCCTGCTTACCTGTAAGCTCTGCAGAACATTCAGGAAGTCATTCATCCCTGTTAAATGCTCCACATCTTGGAAGACAGCAACAAGCAGAGTGGGGATGATGGCAATAGAGCGTGTCAGAATCACCCGGGCAAAACGTGACCACTTGAGGTTCAGGAATCCCTGGAAGAGGACATGGGAGCAGGGTGACTATATGGAACAGGAACTGGGAAAATGCCTGGGGAAGTTCAGGGAAGACCTTGGAAGCATGGGATTAAAAACTCAAGGGATGTGTTCTCCCCATCTAGTCCATACCAGGGCCTACCTCCATGACAAACTGGCCAGAATAGGTTCCTGTCATGGTGGAGCTCTGTCCTGCAGCCAGGATCCCCACTGCCCAGATGTAGAGTGCAGCAGGCCCGAAGTAACATCCCAGCACAACACCCTGGGACAGGCAAGGGAGAGACAGGGGCTTGTGTCAGTGACCTGCTTAGATCACACTTCCAACAGCACTTCTCTGCAGCACTTCCCCTTCCTTGCTAAACACCAACCACACCAAGGCTCAGGTTGGGCACTGCCCCAGAAGCCAGGCTCAGTTCTGGATCTGATGCTACAGGCTTCCAATCCCAGGTCTGCTGGGCGTCCCTTCAATACTCAGCCCAGGCCTTCCTCTTCTCCATGTCCCTAAAGCCTTCATCTCCAGCCTCCATCCTAAACACTGAAAAGGCAGAAGTCTCCCTATTTCCTGAAGCGAATTCCTTAATGCACGATTCTGGAAAATGGCAGGTGTGGAGGGAACAGTCAAATAAATGTGGGAAATGGTGTGTATTATATACTCGATTCCCAAAGGGTCACAGAGTGACCAGCATAAAGGGCCTGAGAGAGCCTGGCAAAGAACACTTTGCTAAGAACATTTTCTTCAGTCATGACAGTTAACTTTACAGCAGAACTTCATAGTGTTGTCACAAGTTTAGGAATTGCTGGTATGCTGATCCTCTACCCACCTTCCCCCACTACACAACCCTAAATGCTTGTCTGGCATAAGGACCTCTGAAATAAATGACACTCTAGAGGAGATATGCTCAAGTCTGAAACAAACTCACAAAAGGCCAGATAATATGCTAACATTTATCCAATACCAAAGATCACAAACCAGTGCATGCTTACCCCTTTGTAGGTGTCCAGCCAGAGCTGAGTTAGGAAAGAGCCAGTATGGGAACAGCTGCTATTTGTACAGACATCAATCTAGAGCCCAAAGCAATGCAAGACCAACTTTGGTGTCAGGTAGGAAGAGCCGTACACACCACATGACCCCTCTGGAGGAAGAAAACCCTAGATGAAGGTTCTGATGTGGGCAGAGGCCACTTTATTTGTGATCTTTCTCTACAACCTTGAAGATCCCCATATCATCAGAAATCTATACTGCATCAGAATCTAGATGGTAAAAAACAAACACTGAAAATTTTTAAATGAGGACAGGCAGAGTGTGCCTTAACAAACCTTCGAATGTGCATGAATAGCAAGACCTCAGTCAAAGTAGAACCAGGTGTCAAGGTTCTATGCATGGGAAACAGAGCCAAAACTCCAAAGGCAAGCTACATGGCAGCAACCACCTGCAATTCCAGCACTCAGCAGGCTGAGGCAGGAAGATTGTGAGTTTGAGGCCAAGATTGTGAGTCTGGGCTAAATAGAGCTCTAAAAAGAAACAAACAAACAAACAAAAAAACAGGCAGTTGCCACTAATTTTGAGGCCAACTTGGGCTACATAATAATTTCCAGGCCTTCCTGGCTTACAGAGTGAAACTGTCCCATAAAAATAAAACAAGCTGGATATTATGGCGCACGCCTTTAATCCAAGCACTAGGGAGGCAGAGGCAGGCAGATCTCTGTAAGTTTGAGACCAGCCTGGTCTACATAGTGAGTTCCAGACCAGCCAGGATTGCTCAGTGAGACTCTGTCTCAAAACAAAACAAACAAGCATGAAACAAAACACATATGAAAGTAGTCAGCAATCCAAGGAAACAAAACCTGGCTTCGTCAAGCGGCCTATTCTCGTCACAGTTTCTCTTTTCTGTGTGTCCACTTCCCCCAGCTCAAATGTCAAGACTGCGGGTTGGCAGGAAGAAAGTTACACGAGGGAACAAGGATTACAAAGAGCCACATAGGAAAAAGACCCCGCCTACATGACGCACAGGCAACTAAGTTTAAGGCCAGTTCTCCCTGCAGAAAAGTTGGAGCTCCCAGGCTGCTAACTCTGTTTGGTAATAGGCCTGGGAGGATTGGAGATAAGGACATATTTCCCCTGGACTCTGAACCATTGCAGCTTTCTGCCCCATTCCAGCCTTCATTTTACCCTAGCATTCACTACCACCTGTGGCCCTAGCATTGTTTTTTTTTCCAAAAACTCTTTGGATAAAGACTGAGATAACAAAAATACTGACAAAGAAGGAAACAGAGCACAATGCAGGGTTCAGTAAAAAGGTAAGTATCTGTATCCCAAACTTATTGCTTTTGGCCTGGTTTATCTGTCTAGACCATAAAGATAAGGCCAATCTTTTTAAAATCATTTTTATTTTTAATATTTACTATTTTTATTTTTTTATTTTTATTTTTGATTTATTTTTGGTCTTTTTGAGACAGGGTTTCCCTGTCTCAAATATTTATGTTTATCTCACTATGTAGACCAGGCTGGCCTTGAACTCACAGAGATTCCTGCACCTACCTCCCCAGTGCTGGTATTAAAGGCATCCACCACCATGCCCAGCCCCCCTTCTAGAACTTTGATAATGACTTTGTATTTACATTTGAGACATTTCCTGTTTGGAGCATTGGGAGCCGTAGACTGGTGAAGTGAGCTCTTATGTCTGTGATCATCAACTGCTTCTTATGTATAGTATATAAAATCTACAGTTCTGTAGTGATCTGGCTAATGAACGGTTGGAGGATGATGAGCTTGGAAGTCTCTTCTATGTACCTTTCCTGGGGTTTGAGAGACCTGCACAGTATAAACCACAGTGCTTCTTGAGTGACTGGGAAGGGAATGACACGGGGAAGATGCTCTTCCATCCTCTACCCTGAGGGAAACAGCCACAATTCTCTATGTAGATCCTCATTTGGTAGGACATATCAGCTCAAATTCTTAGAAAAGCCAGCCTCCAGCTTTGACAAAGGTTACTGGAGACAACACAAAGTAAGGCAGTCTGTCCAGGCAGATGTGAAGACTGACTACTAAAGGGAGCATTTTGCTCAAGTTTCAGCTTTCTCTCTTCAAGATAGGCAAAGCTAGTTGGTAGATGTCTGTCCTAGTTAGCTTTCTATTGTTGTGATATAACATTGATCAAAAATAACTTGAGGAGGAAAGGGTTTATTCAGCTCACAACCCTCAGGTCTAACAACGAGGGAAGTCAGGTCAGGAACTCAAGGCAGGAGCCTAGAGGCAGGTATTTTTGAAACAGGGTCTCCCAGTAGCCCCAGCTGGCCTAGAACTCACTGTGTAGACCAGACTGGCCTTCAACTCACAGAGATCTGCCTGCCTCTGCCTCCCAAGTGCTAGGACTACAGGTGTGTGCCACCATGCCTGGTAAGAGCACTGGCTACTCTTGTAGAGGACTCAGGTTTGGTTTCCAGCATTCAAATAGTGTCTAACAACCATCTGTGACTCCAGGAATCCAATGCCCTCTTCTAGCCTCCATGACACTGCATACACATGGTACACTCACATACACATGCAGGCAAAACACTCATACAATCAAATAAAAATAAATCTTTTAAAAATTTATTTATAAGCTGGGCATTGTGGTGCATGTCTTTAATCCCAGCACTCAGGAGGCAGAGACAGGTGGATCTCTGTGAGTTCAAGGTCAGCCTGATCTACATAGTAAGTTCCAGGCCAGCTGGGGCTACAGGGAGACCCTGTCTCAACAACCCCCCCCAGTAATTTGTATTTTATGTGTCTGAATGTTTTTACTACATATATGCAAATGTATGATGTGCATGCAGAAGAGGGCATCAGACCCCATGGAATGGCTGTTAGCTGCCATGTTGGTGCTAGGAACTAAACTCTGGTCCTCTGCTAGAGGACCTCTTAACTGCTGAGCCATTTTTCCAGTCACCCTTTTAAATTATTTTTTCAATATTTATTTCCAATAAATAAATCTTTTAAAAAATTTCAGATCTTCCAAGCATTGTGGCTCCTGCCTGAATCCCAGCACTCAGGAGGCTGAAGCAAGATTGCTACCATTTTTTAAAAATATTTTATTTATTAATTTTATTTTATGTATGAGTGTATTGCCTGCATGTAGGTAAGTGCACCCATGTTGTGCAATGCCCACAGAGGACAGAAGAGGCTGTTGGATCCCTTGGAACTGGAGTTGTTAGCTGCCATGTGAGCGCTGGGATTCGAACCCAGGTCTTCTGCAAGAACAACCAGTGTTCTTAACCACTGAGCCATCTGTCCAGCCTGATTACCACCATTTTGAGGCTAGCCAGGGCCACACAGTGAGTTCTAGGTCAGCACTGCATATTTTTCAAACAGTGATTTGCCTATTGAACTCTTGGATATTGTAGCTGGAAGAATCACTCTAGAAAAACAAGCTGGTTTCAGTCTGAAGGGTAAAATTATAATTATAATTATAATACCTGAAATCTCATTAGTAAATAATTGCCTACAACTTACTGGTAAAGCTTGGTTGCCGTCCACTAGACTAGTCATGTTTCAAGGGTGAAACAAAAATGTCCGATGTACTTTCAGGCCTGTTACAGAGAATTTCAATCAGCATAGCTTTTTTTTTTTTGGATCAGTAATTCCTGAACTATTTGATAATAAAAACATAAGGCAAACTTGTGGAGTTCATAGACAACCAGCATTGGGAATACCTTTTGTGCCTCTTGTAATAAGATTTTTTTTTATTTAAGGGTATGTGTAGGTGCCTATGTGAATGTATACCGTATGTATGCAGATGCCCAAAGAGGCCAGAAGAAGCTGTCAGATCCATTCAGTGGTTGTAAGTTGCCCTATGTAGCCAAACTCAGGTCCTCTGGAAGAACAGCAAGCACTCTTAGCTGCTGAGCCATCTCTCCAGTCCTGTCTTTTATAATTAAAGAAAAAGATCCATAAACTATATACCACTAGAAGGCCACTAAGATAAGGACCTTGGTCACCTTAACTAAGGCAGAATACAGGTAGAGATTTGGTAGTGTGATGATGGCTCCCATGATACCCACAACCTGCTCAGTCTGTGTGGTGTGACAGCCTAACAGAATGTGGCTGGGGCTTTACTGTAACATAGTACACACCAACATAACACCTACTGTCCTATACTGGAACATGAAATGGGGAATAACACAACACCAGGGAATCCCCAGCATCCTTTACTCCTTACAATCCCTTCTGCTGCAACCACCTAGGATATGCAAAACTTGTAGGAGCCAGAGAACTCAGGATTAGATTTTGGATATTTTATATCATATATTAGATGGACAAAACAGATGACTATAGAACAAAATGGTCTAAAAATAAAATAATAAAATATCTACTAATGGTACTATTATTAGCATCACTGTAACCCTGTGAGACAAATCCAAGACTACAGATTTGACTTTTTTAAAATTTTGAAACTTTGGTGGTTTTTTGTTTGTTTGTTTCTTTGAGACATAATCTCACTATTTAGGCATAACTAGCCTGGAACTATGTAGACCAGGCTGGCCTTGAACTCACAGAGATCAGCCTGACTCTGCCTCCTGAGTGCTGGGATTAAAGGCGTGCGCCACTACACCAGGCTCTTATTTGTTTTATTTGGGGGCCCATTGAGTTTAACCAGGACTGTCTGTGGAACCATGGGTTTGGTGGGCTCATGAGTGGGTATACAACTGGACAATGACTCTCCTCTCTCTCCTCTATCTATCATCTATCTATCTATCTATCTATCTATCTATCTATCTATCTATCTATCTATCTATCTATCTAGAGCCAATAATCCAGCAGAAGATGGCCTCATGAGCCCCTTGCCAATCTTTGATTGATTGTTCAGAGGGACAGTGTTATAGGTGTATAGGGCAAGGAGCTACAATTGTTGTGAATTTGTGGTTGCAGAGGTTCTGTCATTCTAGAGGATAGCATTTTGCAGTCTATCACTCTATCTCCCTTCCCCTGTCCACCATGTTCCCTGACCTTTGGAA